GTTCAAACAGAAGAAAGCACCCATGTCAGTATCAAGGTGCTAGTGCAGTTTAGTTCGACCCCAGGGCTCGAGCATGGGCATAGGCGCTTGGCGTTTGCACCGTCGTTGCGCTGGCCGCCGCCGAAGACGTGTTGGGGATGTCTGGCCAGGATTGCCAGGCAAGCCAGGGTCTCTGCCGATTGTTGAGTGGATTGGGTTGGGCAGCCAGTTAGCCAGCGTCGGCGCATCCACGGCAATGGTGACACTATTGCAGGGCAGCGAGGTTGAGAATGGGAAATGCGTGGACGAGAAAATTTTGAATGCCAAAAAGGCAAACTCTGGCGAGCCGACTGGTCAGAGGGAGGTTACAAACACAGTAGACATGCAAAAGTGAGGTTTTGTTACGGATTGTGTGGATTTGAGAAGACGGTGGCTGCATGAGCACCGCCGGAGCACTGCATGCCCACCAGCCAACCCCTGCGCTGCGCTGCCCCCACCATTGAGGTACGTGCTCGTGCTGAGTGCATGCTATAAGGCAAGAAGTGGCAGGCGCCGGCGGGCAGGAGCCCCGCGCTACCTGACCCCACCCAGCCCAGCCTCACTCCCAGTCCCGTCACTTCCCGGCGTTAGGTACCCAGGTGCTGCTGGGCCTTCTCATCGCTGCTCCTGGATTCTGCTCTCTGCCTTCGTCGCTGCTCTCGAAGCGCCCAATTCTGCGATGGCCTTCCACAGCAGCAGAGCAGCACAGCAGCGTAGCGCCGCCGAGCACCACAGCAACTCGAACTCGATAGCCGTGGCCAATGCCGTCTCCCATCCCACAGCATCGATAGCGTCGAGCATGAGCATGCGGACTGCCGAGAAAAGCTCGGGCAAGCTGAGGTCGAGGGCGAGGTCGGCAACGACCAAGACACTGCTGCTCCTCGAAAGGCGACCCTCCCGCCGACTGAGAACGAAGCTCGAGAGGTCAACCCCAATCCTGAACCTGCCCACCGAAATCGTCGTCCTCGTCACGGGCCTACTCAGCCTCAAGGACCAGCTCGCCTTCTCCCGCACAAACCGCCACCTCTACCACATTGTCAATTCCGTCATCTACGAGGACAATGTCAAGCATGCAGGCGCCTCCTCTCTCTTCTGGGGCGCTGTCAACGGCCGCCTCGGCACGCTAAAACACGCCCTCCAGGCCGGCGCCGACCTCGACGGCATAGCCCCCATCAAGGGCAAGAACTCGGACGCTGCCGACGGCGATGCCACCGATGTTGTTGTGTCTCCAGCCGACACACATCCGAACACGCCCCTCCTGCCCTGGGCGACCCCTCTTCATCTCGCCGCCAAGAACGGCCACCGCGACATCGTCAACTGGCTGCTCGACAACGGCGTCAACATCAATGCCCCCTCATTCCGAGTCTGCGATTGCCAGGCCCTCAAGCCAGGCAGACACCCCCTACGACGGCTTGCCGAGTGGCCTCGTTGGCGAGCCCTGCACACAGCGCTGTGCCACGAGGAGCGGTCAGTCGCCGAGCTCCTAATATTTCGCGGTGCATCGCTCCAGCTCGACGCCACCCCCGACCACAACCACACCGCCCTGCACTCGGCTGCTGCGAACGGCCTGGTGCCCGTCGTCAAACTTCTAGCCCTCGACGTGAACCTCAACATTAACGAACGAGACGCCTCCGAGAATACGGCCCTGCATTACGTCGCCAACCTCTGGGCCGCCCGCGAATCCGCCGAAATCCGCGACACAATTACCAAGCTCCTTGCCCTCGGCGCCGACCTCGAAGCCCTAAACGAAAACGGACACACCCCTCTGCTGAATGCATGCTACCGAGGCAATTATGCTGTGGCTCACAGGCTGGTCAGCATCGGGGCAAATCCGGAGCCGCACAGCTACATCCCGAACTTCCGAGATTTCCGCCCGCTGTACTACTGCCTTCTTCCGCGCTCTGAGTTCTTCGATCTCGACGACGCACCCATCAAGCACGACGATTTCGAGGGCAACCGTGTCAGTTTGATCAAGATTCTGATTGAGTCCGGCGCCGATGTCGAAGCTCGCTTCAACCAGCGCGGCTTCCACAGCGTGACGGCCCTGATGCTAGCTTGCGAGCTAGCCGAGCCCCGCGCGGTCGCCGCACTCATTCAGGGCGGGGCCGTTGTCAACGCCCAGGATCGCCATGGACGGACTCCGCTGTTTTACGCGTGTTCAGTTAGAGTCGAGCACCGCGGCGAAGTCCCCGAAATCGCCACTTTCCTCATACGCCACGGAGCGCGGATAGACTTGGAGGAGGATCCCAATAACAGTCCTCTTGACTGGGCCATCAAGCAGGTGAGGTGGGGCGACAGCATCGTGCTCGAGGTGATGCTCAAGGCCGCAGGCAAGGTGAACCTAACACACCCCAAGCTGAGGGCTGCGCTGAGGAGGTGCGCTTCCAGCGGCAACCACAAGGCTTTGAAGGCGCTGCTCCAGTTTGGCGACAGAACGTACGGGGTAACTGAGGAACAGGTCAAAGAGTACATGGACTTGACTATAAAACAGCACGATCCATGGAACCAGCGTGACACGTTCAATACCTTGATGGACTTTGGGAGAGTCATTGACTCAAACGAGGTCCTCCTGCTCAAGACGATCATGCAGAAGAATCGCGACCTAAGCCTGGCAGTTCTAGAGCGCGGCGTCTCGGTCTGTGATAGCAGGTTCTACGGCGGTCAGACGTATCTGCACCTAGCCTGCCAGTGGGGTGATGTCGAGGTGGTCAAGGCACTGTTAGAGAGGGCTGCCGACGTTGATGTGTTTGACAACGAGCTCAGGACACCCCTATCCATTGCCGTGATAGAGAACGCCAAGATCGTTGCCGAGCTCCTGATGAAGGAAGTTGCCGACCCGCATCTTTTGCCCCCCGACGACCTTCTCAAGACCCTTTACAACGAGGACGAGGACGAATGGCGCTTTGTCAAACGCCGGTACCTATCTGCCTTCGAGCTCGCCATCCGCGAAGACCGCGTGGTCATCCTCACCAACATGCTGTCGCACTATGAGTTGCCCGAAATCTCGCCAGGCTCACGGTACACGTACTTGCACCGCGCGTGCGAGAACCCGAACACCGAAGTGCTCAAGCTGCTCTTGGACAAGGGCGCCGACGCGAATGGCGGGAAGGGATGTCCCAACCCACCTGTGGTAAGTCTGCTTCGCCACGTCTGGACGAAGCCGAGCGTCCCGGATACCGGAACGGGCGCGCTGCAGGCTGCCAAGCTGCTGTTTAAGCACATGGCAACCCCGACAACGGCGATGGATATCCTGAGGGAGATCTTGCTGTACGAGGGCAAGGACGTGCATAAGCTCATGGTAGGGGCACTGGTCAAGAGGGAATTGGCTGTCATCGTGGAGCGGGACGCCGAGGGGAACGTGACAATCGACGTTATAGGGGATGATGATTAATGAATGGACACGAAAGAATGGATTACCGACTATAGATCTGCTTCAAGTTTGGGTGCTGCGATTTGAGATCCCTTTTCGATCTGCTGCTTGATGGCGGAAATGGTGTTCATGGGGTGGTTTTTTTCTCTTTTGGCTTTTCGGATGTGATGGGATATGAAGGGTGAATGCAGTGGAACACTGACAGATGACACTGACAGATGGATGGATTATGGGATGGATATACCAGGGCTACCAGGTCGAGGGGCTACCAGGTTGAGGTCGATGTTTGGACTGCAGGCTACATTCAAACAGAGACCAGGGAAGAGATTTATGGCCGGTGTGGATGGATGTATGCAAAATATCAGTCGCGGTGAAGGGGGTAGATAAGATTGATCGATGTAGATGAGGGAAAATAATACTAGTATAAATTTTGCTGCTGGTCACTCGCCTCAAGGTTGGCTGTGGGGATTGTGCGATGTGTGTTGCTGGTGTTGAGGTTGAGGCAGGTTCGGTATCATTGTTCAAACTGCCATGAGTCTAGCTTGAGAGGGGAGTGGGTAGGGAAAAAGTAGGACTCGGGACACCTACCAACCTGAAGTTGATGAAATGAATATGCTGTCGTCTGCTAACATATTAGTATGTAAACTGGTGATAAGAGTCCGATGTGTTGCTTGCACAGTGTGACGACTGGGCTGCTGTCAAGCAAGGTTGACTTTTCAGCATCTCATTCCGTTTACCTCAGCAATTTATATTATTCACACCTTCTGAGCATACGGTATTATCCATCAATAACGTCAGGTGGGAGCCAAGTCACTGCTTCTCAGAGATCACTTAGGATCAGTTCTTGGGAGTTTATATATGCAATTTATGCATACACATCATTGTCTTGTAAGACAACTTGAAGTGTACCTTAGGTTAGGTTCATGTGTCCCTATACATTGATTGAGTTTCGTGGGCTTCAAGTTTGAGCTAGAGTAATGAACAGTTTTTAAGCTCCCTATCAAATGCCTTTCTATGTCTTAGTTATGATTCAAATATAAACTTGGTTGCTCACGTTGTTTCCATGAAAGTGAAAGTATTAGTGAAGGAGATGGTCACGGTGTTTCTGGTCCACTACCATGGCTATAAATGCATCAGCATGCTCCGAAGTGCACCTAGGTTTAAGAAAGTGTAAACTAATGTCAGAGGTTGGTAACTATCAATCTCGTTTTAGGAATGAGTCATAACTTTTATTTTTTCTTGCAACAGCAGTCTGGTAAAACATTGTGGCTTAACCAAGTTGAGAAGGCAATACTGAAAGTGTATCGCGATACTCTTGAAGCTATTCCTAGGGAAATACCGCTTCATCTGGTCCTCTCAACATGGTTTCCTTGTAAATCATTTTATTCGAGTTGTGATGTCGAAGAATGATCTGCGTTGTCGGTCATTTTATGTTATTATGTTCTCGCTTAGCATTTGCAAGTTCAGTAGCTGAAGATATGAGCCGCTATCGAACGTCTTGAGACTTGGTGGCTCACCCACGCATTCGAATGCCCCAGAGCACATGGCAAAGCAATTAATTTGCACAAAAACGGCAAAAAGAAATCGAGAGATCGAATCTAGAAAAAGAAGCCGCCAACGGCGAGACTCGAACTCGCAACATTCAGATGTCTTTGGTGTAAAAGTCTGACGCGCTAACCAATTGCGCCACGCCGGCTTTTCAGATTGTTGATTGGTCATGGTCAATAATTGGCTACATAATGGCATGCGCGATCTGAGACGCAAATATTCAAGTTAAAATCAGCTCCTTCAGTAAATACAAACCATTGCAGCTCCCCGCGGATATCAATCAATAGTCTGTGCTATAATATAGAGTTTTGATGTCCTTGAAACTTTCTCCAGGCCATGTCATGGAAATTCGAGTATCCCCCACAGCTGACGCATCCTCCCCCGTGACGTCGTGTTGGGTCGCGTTACCATGCAAGGTGCGCTCCATGCCAACTCGCACTGAAAGTCTTGAACTCGGGGGCTCCATGCCGACACTTCCTTCCGACACCAAGTTCCACGTTCTTCAGCCATGAGCCAGCCGAGCGTTCCGTCCATTTTGCCATTTCGAAGAAATTTCCAACAGCGTACCGAGTCTCCAGCAAAACAAGCAACTTCAACATGCATCATGGAATTGACCTCAACTCAGGATTATGGAGGACGGTGACGGTAAGCTGCATCCTGCCCTTGACCCAAACGCGACTTAGATTTTCAGCTTTCCTATAACTCACAGCTAGAATTCCCGAAAACGGCAGCGATGGGCGCGGGTGTAAGTCGACAATCTGGGGTAGGATGTCGTGCTTGGGGGCTGGCAGAGGGCGCACGTCGATCTTAGCGTCGACGGCCCCAAAACCCCACGATCACGACATCTGAGATCGGACGGTGAAACGCAACAAAAGCATTGAGTCCCCTGTTCGCGCGAGGCGCAAAAGCTTGTCGGGAGACGCCTAGCCCTCGGCTCTTTTCCAGCTCGGCCAATTTACCCAACAGCAACATGGCCCCCTTTCTCGGCCTCATTGTGATGGGTCCCGGGAGCCGAAGATCGACAGGCACGTTCAACACGTCCCGCCCGGTTCGCGGCAGGGGGGCCTTGCAAAGTATGGGGTGGCGGGATAGAACTCGACACTGAGACGCCGGCCGCCCAGTGTTGGTAGGCAGTGTTGGTGGGCTGGATGCCAACAGGGTTCTCCAGATGTCAGATGGGGAGCCCGCCCCAGAATGCTCGTCATGACCTCCGATACGCGACTCCGACACGGACACGGCGGCGACCAGGGCGAGATCCCTGATTCAGGGAACACAGACTCTACAGGTTGGAGGACTCTTTGACGATAGATGCCACAGCCATCATTCTTAGGAACTGGTCGGGCATCCTCCGGCTCGACCTGCCGACGCCGTATGCCATGGTCCCGGAGATTAAGAGTTGCACAACAAATGCATACACGAGCGATACACGCTGCAGGGCAAGCTGTCAGTCCGGCCACCGTGCCGGGCAATGCATCGTGTAGATCGACACCGTACTAGTCATGCTAGCGCTACTCAATCTTTTGTCCTGAGTAGGAGGCGTGCAACAAACACGTTCCCGTCTGTTCGGCCCTGTTGGCGATAGCCTCATATCCTTCTTACCCTTTCTGTGCCCCCTGTCGACGATCTCTGCCACGGCTAGCTAGCCTACGCCCGCCCCTAACATGTCAACCGCAAGGCGGCGGGTACACATTGCTTTCTTTGGTCCTGCCGTGGGGGCTTCTAGTCGAGAACGTCACGGCCCCTTGGATTCTGGAGTGAATCGCATCGTCGACGGGCATGATGGTATCATCGTTTCCATCAAGCACGACAGCTGCGCTTTGAGGCAGCGTCATGGCCCTCGGTTTCAGGAAGGGAAGTGATGAGCATGACTAGCAGCGCAATAGCAGATCCGATGTTGAATAGAATGTATAAGTACCAGACGGAGAAACCCCCTCAATCTATCTCATTCTTTCTCATCAGCATCAACATCGAGATCTTCTCATCTCATCCACTCTTTTCGAGATCTTTCATCTCAGCCACTCTTTCAATTCCCTCAGCGGATCACAACAGTGACTGCAATGCATACCTTTGTCGGCTTTGCCCTTTTGGGCCACCTCGTTGCTCACCTCGCCGGTGCCTCCCCAGTTGGCGCTGGCAAGAGAGACGGCACTGGCCTTCCAGTTCCTCTCAACCTGGCTCCAGTCGTCGACGTCGTCTCCAGCATCATTGACCCGCTCCTGGGAAGCGACCCATCTGCTGCCATCGGCCCCAAGGGTCCAGCCGGCCACAAGAGGAGCCCCCTCGAGCTCCCGAAGCTGCCTGATCTTGGCCTTCCCCTCGGCGGCGGCAAGGGTGTCGGCAAGAGGAGCCCCTTGGATCTCAGCATCCCCCCTATCATCCCTTTGATCCCCGGTGTCACCGAGCCTCTTTCGGAGAATGCGCCACCCCTTCCTATCCTCCAGGTTCCCACTCCTCCGCTGGAGAGCGAGCCTGAGCCGTTCGCCCATCACCCCAACCTGAAGCCCAAGAAGATCGGCTACTTCTGGACTGGCGCTGGTGACAATCACCACAAAGATTTCCTGGCCACCACCAGTCTCGATGATGTGAGTAACACACCACAGTCTTCAAGAGAATGAAAATGACTAACACTTATCAAGGACACCTTCGGTACCATCATCGACATCACTGATGTCCCGTCCAGCGGCAACTCGCCTCATCATCTGGGCACCACACTCGATGGCCAGCTCCTTGTTGGTGGCGGTCTTCTCTCGCTCCTAAAGACCCAGGACACTGCCTACTACTTCGACGTCAGCGACCCATACAAGCCCAAGTTTGCGCACAGCAACCGTGGCGTCCTCAGCTCCATTGTCGACGAGATCCGGGCCAAGCCTGACGGGTACGCATATCCACCCTCTCACCTTAAGTTGCAGCAGCCACTAACGTGAGACTCAGCGGCTTCTTCATCACCTACATGGGTTCTGCTGCCGGCACTTCTCCTGGCCGCCTGGTCGAGACCGACCCCCTCGGCAACATCGTCCATGAGTGGCCTGAGGATGTTGAGAGCACTCTCAATATCCTGGGCGAGCAGTTCTCACCTCACGGCCTGAGCATCGACTTTGAGGCCAACGTCGCCTTGACTTCCGACTTTGTTGTTCCCTACACCATCCTCAAGCCCACCACCGGAATCGAACGCGCCAACACTCTCCGCCTCTGGAACATTGAGACCCGCACCATCATCTCGACCATCACCATCCCCGACGGCCAGGGCATCCAGGACGTCAAGTTCATCCCGGGCAATAAGGAGAGCGCCGCGCTCGCCACCGCTGTCGGTCTCGGCCAAGTCTGGATCATCTACCCCTTCCGCTTCGACAAGAGCGGCAAGCAGGGTGTCGCCGAGCTCCTCTACGATCTCGGCCACGAGGCCCGCGACTCAATGGCCATCTACTCCGATATTTCTGACGACGGCAAGCTCGCCTACTTCACCATCACCCTGGCCAACCACGTCGCTGCACTCGACATCTCCGATCTCAACAATGTCAAGCGCCTCGACGACCCGGCCGAGGAGCAGCCCATCATCGGCCCCCACTACGTCAAGATCTCGCCCGACAAGAAGAACCTGCTCGTGCTCGGCTACTTTGTGCAGGCTGGCGACATCTCGGTGCTTAACACGCCCGCCGACTTCAAGGCGCACTGGCTCGACATCAACAACGACGGCAGCATCAGCTTCAACCGCACCATTGACTTTGAGAACATCTTCACGCGCACGCGCGGCGGTGCTCGCCCTCACTCAGTCGTCATCTTTGACCTGACCAACCCTGATGATCCCAAGTACTACTAGATTGTGGGACTGGTTACGAGCGATGCGGATGATCACGGAACAACATCATGAGATGGGGTCATGGCGGGGAGGAGGGAGGGGGGGGGGGAAAGGGGTTTATGCTGATGAGGATTACTAACCATTCATTCATTACATTTTCTTATTATTATCTTCTGACAGATTGTGTCATCTCACTCTTCTACCACTTACACTCTTTTCTTTCTTTTGGACTATATTATTATTTTTTACACGCTAGTGATAATGTCAAATACTACTCAACGGGAAAAGCCAGGGCATCGTCATTCTGATCCGGATAGCATTGCGTGTTTCCATAGACTCGCGAATTCAATATACTGGTTGCAAAGCACATTAAGTTCTGTCACATTTTCCCCTATCATATACCCGTCCCACCTCTTCAATCATCCTTCTTCCCCTGACTCTTGACCCCCTCGTTCCACATCCCCTGACACCCCGTCACCCGACCCGCAATCTCCTCGGCCTTGCCATATCCCTGGGTCTCGGGGTTGCGGTTATCGGTCGCCGCCTGCAGCGCCGCCTTGGCATGGGCCTTGTCCTGCTCGCCCGAGGTCGTCCAGGCGTGCGAGCCCGTTACGGCGCCGATGGTACTCTACCGTCCCTGTAAGCCCGCTTCTCGTACCAAGACAAACTGAGCATGGGGGGGACGCACCTCGGCGGCGCCCTTGATGTACTCGGCGTGGCCGGCGATCAGGCCGGGCTGCTCTGGCTGGGTGTTTGTGTTTGTGTTCTGGGGGTTGGACGACATGATGGCTGGTTTTACTACTGATGGGATCTTGGTGAGGGGTTGTTGTTATTTGGGAATGCAAGTTTGCTTGAGGGAAGGTGAGGTTCAACATGGAAGGACAGGAGACGGGGAGACTCAATGATGGCCCCCTGACGTCATGAATTCATTCGTTACAACGTAAACCCCGCTGCGGTAGGGGCGCATGCACAACAGCGCATCCCTGTTTGCCAGCCCTACACGTTATCGAGCGTGGCCCCTGCACCTGTTGCTGACGGATGGAAACAGCGCGACGTTGAGCATCGAAGTAGATGGGGTACTGTGGGAGAGTCTGGGGAAGATTGCAGAGTGTTTGGAAGATGGCTTGGCAAAAGCTTACTGTCCTGGTGTCCATGGGTATTGATGTTGCGGTGGATTTATCAACCGGGGGTTGAGGGGGGTCATTCTCACTGAGCTTGCTCAGGACTGTCCTTGAAAAGAGACGGTAGAATTACTTGGATATAACTTTCTCAAGGTGGAGGAACCTGAAAATGTTTCGTTGAAGCTGTCTCTGGGGAATGGCGAACTATCGCCTACTAGGTTGGACCTCATG